AAGTATTTAATGCAAAATTAATTTTTATCCTCTAGAATGCATTATATTTGAGGACAATTTTTTAATGTTCAAATGCACGGAGGGAGTAGGTGCAGTAGGCAAATAAAGCATGGGTTTTGTCAAAATCAGCTCATTTTAGTGTGCTTGTAATCCTAGACAAGATAGTACGTCTATGCGTATTTGATACTACAAGTGAATGAAATAAATCAATTACAGATATCAATGATTAGTATACTAGCACAAATTAATGAGTGAAATGGTACACTGCAAGGCCCGGGGAAGAAAGAAATTTCTACTAACTGAAACACGGTTATTACGGTTAATTAGGAATCTTAGCTAGACGGCAGGTGCGCACAGTAATGGCAACATATAGATAGTCCCCAATGCCGTGCGGAATCCATTCCATTTGAGACGGTGCACGTAAGTTACGTACAATTAATCGGCCTTTATTACTGCCAAAACCGGAAACGTTCAAATTTATTTGTAAACGCAGGAGATGCTGTTGATCCGAATATTCTCTCGGATTCTGATCATCCATATTGCATTGTTTAAATATTTATTTATCGTGCAGCGTTATATCCGTCAATATTACTACTACACCTTAACTACTACTCCAAGGATCCCACAACATCTACACGCCGATTATTTGAATCGCATCCGGTTTTATTTGCATCGTCGTCTTAATTTAATTCTGACCCACTTGAATTATTGCTTGATTTCATTCACGCAACATCTTATTCATTTTGTTTTACTACCAAAATTAGTAACATATCCTAAATGGCTTGTTTGGACACGGTTGTGAGTCATGGAGGTTAGGAACCGGAAATTATCCTTAGAGGGTCGAGGAACTTCTCGAAGGGCAGTGGTGCCAGGCCGTGGGCCGCAGACGGACTCTCGGTTGCAGCCCATCAAGAAAAGGCGGTCGAAGAAGAAGGCACACAAATTACCCTTAACAGGTAATATTAGTGTAGGGATATTTCGAGGATGTAATGTAACCGTTAAGGAACATAATTGTAAAGTGTAGCCTTAACAAGCAATGCCCTATAAAAAGAGAACACAAACTCTGTACAAGGGGGTAGTTGAATGCATTCATGAAACTCTAAGTTAGTCTATACCCACTTTCCACTTGACACGCCTTAGCCCGAGGCACCTGTCCAGGCGAAGGCTTCGGCAATCTCCTTCTAGTCCCATCTACTTGAAACCACCGTTTTTCAACGTGGCTAAATGTGCATATTTAGCAGATTCTGTTGATCCGAATATTCTGCGCCGGCTGATTTAATTCTATCAGGTTTAGTTTGATTACCGCACATATATTTAGTGTTAGCTTTGAATGTATGGCAGTGAAAGACAAAATTAGCAGTGCCTGATTCTTGAATCTTGAACATGTATGCACGCGACAGAAAAAAGCAGCGAGCGAGAGAGAGAGAGATGTGGGAAATGAACGACTTCGCCTTCAGCTTCGTCTTGAAATTCTGGTCAAACACAAGCTTTGAACTCGTCTATACAAACGTTGAAGGAAGAAAAAAAAAACATACAGCATTTTGCGGCGGTACGGACAGTAAGTTTTTTTGTAAACGTTTCTGAATTTTTTAATAAAATATGCGGGGACTGACAAATAAAGGATCCGAATCGGTGGTGGTGTCACTCACATGCAAGCGGCCCAGCGCATGTGGTCCTCGCCTCGGTATTCCCTCGCGCGGTGTTTGCATGTGCATGTCGCGGCACGGTCGCACGTGTACGTACGTGCCCAGCCTTGGTAACAAAATACTACTACTACGTACTCTGGGAACATTTGAAAATAAAAAAATCCAATTAATTTTACATCCCTAACGTACGTGTAAGAATACCATTTCCTATAGTTTCGGGTTCAATAACATATAAAAAACAAGTGTTAGTATTGCTGTACTGTACAAATGACGCCAGATACTATATGTTCTCTCCTTTTTTTTTTTGCAAAATTGTAGGGGAAAGGAACCTCCCCCACTCTCTTACTCTGAGCACAGAAATGGACTCTCGTGTCAATCAATTTGGTATACGCTTTTGCTGTTGTTATGTCAGTCAAAATATATATACTACTATATTTGACAATGGCTAGTGTGATACGGTTCCATTTATGTAAAAATTAATTTGGAGAAACCCTCAAAGTGAAGGCAGTATTTCCAAACGCAATATATATTGAATTATGCACTTGGAGCTTTTGTGTTTCCTGTTTCAATCTTATTAGGCAGGTAGATATTTGACAAGATCGTCTAGTAGAAAAAAAAACTTTTGTTTCCAAAGATGAGATTAGGGGGTCCCACATTTGTTGTCTTCTTTGTTATCCATACTCCGTATATCGCATGCATGAGCGAGTGACTAAAATCTAAGATTTCAAACGAGTGACTGGTATATAGATAATCCTCCTATATACTTTATATCCTGTACTCGATCGAGTACGATTTTTTTATCGGGATCAAGTACGATTTTGAATATATTGTATTTTTTTAGCATCGAATATATTGTATTTGAGCTCAGTACAAAAGAACGCCCAGGATATATAGACGATGATGAGGCGATATATATATAGACAATAACAACAAGCTAAACTTGTGCATGTGCATGGATGACACAGTCAGAACAAACAGATCCCTTTCATTTTACCATAACGAGAAATGCATGACACTTTTGTCTTGCCGCAAAAACATTTGTCAAACCATCATCAATTTTCACGATCACGACGAGTCAAGATTCGGCCAAATTTTTGTCAATGCGAAATTGGACGAACGTTATAAACTTAGTAGGCGGTAATTTCTACTTCAAAATATGCTTTGAAATTTTCTTTGCCGAGTGTCAAAAAATTTGCAAAGAGGCTCTTTACCGAAAGTGTCAAAAAAAAAGGCAAAGAAGCTTCTTTGCCGAGTGTAAAAAAAACGCTTTGTAAATTGTTTATGGTGAATTCAAATAAAAACGTTGTAAACTACAAACGAACTTTTCGAGATCTACACTTTTAGTTTAGAAAGAAACCCGAGGGTGTACATCCAAACTACGTCATGACAAGATGATTTCCAATCAAAAAGGTTGTTTCTCGCTTCACCTTCAACCAACGTACGTGGTGGTTCATCGAACCTGGACGCTTTGTTTTCCTCCCCAAAACCGTGTCCAGGTCCATTCCTAAAGGCCGGTAAAATGCCTTTGCACGGCCATGGCGTGAGGTTTTTCCGGCCCCCAAGGTAAGAAAGCGAACCTTGCAATAGACCAATAGTTGGGCGCTTCGGACAACCTCGGATCTCGTGTGGATGCCGCGTGGTTTTCCTATTGGCGCGTCGCCACCACGACGCCATTGTCTCACCGTCCACTGGCCAGCAGAGGACAGGAGTGAAAGTGGGAGTCGCCGCAGCTGGTTCCGTGAGACCGTGACAACCAAGACTGCAGTGGATTCGATGATGCAATTTGCATGACTTGTACAGAGGCGTATTCTGCGAGCCATGGCAATGTTGATCTGGCTGGTCTGGTCTGGTCACACACACACATTTTTCCATGCCCATTGGGTGAACGGAAAAAAAAAGGGCTACTACCAAGCGTTCTTTGGTTGGTTGGTTTACGGTACTTTTCCGATCCTAATTTACACGTATCGTAACTTATAAACTTTCCCCAAACAAATAAGCGAACATAAGCACGTCAGTGAGGTTTTTTGCTTCACTTTTCAAAAACGTGCTGGTTTTTACCTGGACGCTTTGTTTTCCTCCCCAGCGTGTGTGTCCAGGTCCATTCCAGTGGGTTTGAATTTTCTTTTTTATTTAGGTTTTTCCGGCCCCCAAGGTAAGAAAGCGAACCTTGAAAATAGATAAAGTTGGGCGCTTCGGACAACCTCGGATCTCGTGTGGATCTCACAGTGTTTTCCTCACACACATTTTTCCATGCCCATTTCTTAAAGCAAGACTACAACGAAGACCTGCTCTGTTTTCTCCGATGTAACTGCTGACGATTCACTCAAAGTTGTAACGGAATTGTTGCCGGTCTAATTTTATTTGTCAATTAGGAATTGTTTTTTAGACGAAGTAAGAACTTATATTATCCAATTGTGGTAACGCATTTGCACAGGCACAAATCACCACGCTAATTATTACATACTTGAACTATAGTAAAAATTTGGATACTCATTGGACTATGTATAACTTAGTTATAGATAAATTCTAATTAATTACAAAAATTGATTTTCCACCATTAATCTAAAGCTACAAAAAAAAAGGCTATCTCAAAGCAGGTGAGAGGTGAAATTAATATAGATCATGTATGTTATTTCTACATGTGCAATTTATAACAAAATTAGATTTTTCATTTTATAACGATAGAAATGACACACAATGATTTCTCTCAAAAATTCTAATAATAATATTCAAATATAATCGATATACAATCATATTGGCTTAAGTAATATGTGTCTAAATTATGATTATTAAATTAAATTAAATTCAAAGGATTTTAAAAGGGGCCTAAAAGATAATCATTTACATACCATACGAATAATATTTGCACCACAAATTTTTTCCAAGAAATTTGCACCACAAATTTGGTGGAAAGAAATTTGTAGCAAAAAAAAGAGAGGAAACACAAGTGGAAAGGGATCGGAGTCGGAGGAAAGCGGCGGCACCCTGAGAAAGACCCGGGAAGTGAAGGTGACACGCGCGCAGTCCAAAACAACCCGCGCAATCACCGCTCGCCGGTAGCCCCGCCCCCGTGCTCGTTGGCCAGCCTTGCCATACCATATGCTAAGCGGCTAGCCCCAGTAATAAAAAAAATAGAAATACTCCTAGTAATAGCAAAAAGAAAAAATCAGGGGCGAAAAAACAATTAATTTTCCGAGGGAAAACCGCTCGGACTTGCTTTAAATATCGCCCTGGCCTCGACAGATCTCCCCCATTCCTCTCCGCCCCCTCTCCCACCCTCAAGCGAGGGCCACCCTCCGATCCCCGCCTCGATTCCCGGGCCGGAGACCCCGCCTGCCCGCGCCGCCGCCAGCCATGGGAATGGGGCCGCTCAATGACGCCGCGTCGGCCGTCGAGTCCGCGGCCGCGCTGGAGGCCGCCGCCGGCACCGGCGCCGTCGTCTCGGCTGCCGCCGTGGCTGCCGCCGTGGCCGTGGTACCCTCGGCGGGGGGCTCGTACGCGGTGCTGCAGTGCGGCGAGGACTCGGAGTACGTGCGCCAGAAGTACAGCGGCTACTTCACCGTCTTCCGCGCGCTGCTGGAGGAGGACGGCGAGAGCTGGCGGGTGTACCGCGCCGTCCGCGGGGAGCTCCCAACCGACGCCGAGGCGGCGGGCTTCGACGGGTTCGTCATCTCCGGGAGCTGCGCCGACGCGCACGGCGACGAGCCCTGGATCCTCGACCTCGTCGACCTCATCCGCCGCCTCCACGCCGCCGGCAAGCGCTTCCTCGGCGTCTGCTTCGGACACCAGGTGCCAATCATCCCATCATCCGTCCATGCGCGCGTCTCCCATTCCTGCGGACTCGCTGTTTGGTTGCGGTTGGTTCTCTTCTCGCGGTTTGGTTTTGCCTTGTTTGGGCCGGTCGTCTAGTTCCTTCCGCTCGCGCGTAGCTGGGGTCTCCGTGGTTGGTGTTCACGGGGCCGCAGGACGCAGCGGCACCAGCTGGTGGAGCTGCCGCTCTTCTGGGTCTAGCGTCTTCCCCTCCACCCGGCGCTCGGTTAAAAAATGGACCTTTTTTCTTTTTTACGGTGGGTCATGAAATTTATACGGAGTTCGTACGAAAAAGTGAAATGTGGTCATTCTTGATGCGTTTAGACAAGTAAACTGTACTGGTTGCTTAATTGGGGAGCAGCAGCAATGGGACCGAAAGATGCCTAATTTTTTGGGCAAAAATATCAACAACAACCTAGTAAGTTATGATAGGATAGAGCCCTTGTTTAGTTTCACCTTAATTTCTAAAAAATTGCTATAGTACCTGTTATATCGAATGTTTGTGACCCGTGGAGTATTAAATTTTGACGAAAAGAAAAGCTAATTGCACAGTTTGGTGGGAAATTGCGAGACGAACATTTTGAGCCTAATTAGTCCATGTTTGAACACTATTTGCCAAATAAAAATGAAGGTGCTACAGTAGCTTCAAAATCCAAATTTTGCAAACTAATCAAGGGTAGAGTTTGAAACCACTAGCATCTTAAATCACTTCAATAGCTGCTTTTCACTTCTATTAAACATAGATCTACAGATATATCCTGAGCTTTCGAATCTATTTTTTATTATCTTTCTATGTCAATTTCGGTCTGTCTTTATCTCTCAGCTTTGGCTTAGGACTCCAGTATAAACCTTTTTTTTCCAAACAGCAAACATCAAGCTATAATAACAGAATCCGTTTTTAATATTTGTTTTGAGCAACGTCCAATGCTGGTCATTGCCATAGCGTTCATACAATGCGCCATCATTTTTTTTAAAAAGATCTTTTCTTAAAAAAAAGTTTAGGCTTGTCGTACCGGTACAAACTAGTGTGCCCGCATTTTCAACCAGACAAATGAAAATACAGCGCATCCCAGGGGAGTTTGATGCATGGTCCGTGCGCGAGACCGTGGGCCCCACCCATTGGGACGGAGGCCTGCTGTGATTGTGGCTAGAAACCTCCTGCGGGGTGGCCCCTCCCTGTCTGTGACGTAGATGTAGACACCAGCCCCGTCCCACTCCCACCGCTCTCGCTTCTGCCACCACGTTGTTTTCTACTCGTATTCCAGTTCATAGAAGCAGAGGCCCCTGTTTGATTCTGGTCGAAGCAAACAGACGTACACGGGACTGATTAGTGGCTGTAAACTCCACGCTAATTCTAGTTTAAGACGGCAGCATCTCTTCTCCAACAAAACAAAAGGAGCTAAGACGCCAGGCTGGCCTCGCTGATTCGCGTGGTGTGACGTGGCCGTGGTAGCTAGCTCGGTTGTAGTTGGAGGCACACAAACAAAACAAGTGCTTGTGTGTCTTTGTTCTGCAGGATCTCCTACGACCCCGCTACTGCTGTGGCCGGCCGTGTGGTTCCCAGAGCCCAGAGGAGCGTTAGGCGTTACAGCACTTAGCAGTTTCCACCGAGTCCGATAGAGATTTGGCGCGTAAACCGCGCCCGCAATTTAAAATCAAATCCCCCGGGGGAGGAGGAAGACCGCAAATGGCGTGACGCGTCTCTCCTAGCGGTTGCTTTTGAGATGAGATGACGATGCTACTACTACTAGCGTACCAGCTCGGGAGATCATCCAAAGGGCGTGCGTGTGCCGTCGTCCGAGTCCAAGCGCACGCAATCTCGCCACTTTGTCTGAAATCAGAGCATGCCTTCACCGCGTGATGACTCTCCTCCTGACTAGGTAGTATATTATCTAGCAATAATATAATTACTTCAATTCAAAGACCTCTTACGTGGAAGAAGGAAAGGTAAACTTTGATGTCGAGATCTAGGTAAAACTAAAATATATATTCACGTTTTAGACGACGGTCTCGCTTAGCCTACGGTCAGGCAGGACGAGGTCTTACGGAAATCGCAACTTCGAAGGTCATGTGTGGCCACAAGCTACAACACTGTCGTTGTCCCTAGTTTGATCGAAGAGCCGGGAGCTTTTTCTTGCGCTGGAAAACCTGAATTTGGATTGCTCTTGTAGCCGGTGTCTGAACTCTGTCGTCGTCCTACACAGGAGACCAATTGTTTACCAATGGAAATGGAATCCTAGGCCAACTGATTATCATAGTAGAGATTAGGCCGCAGTCGTGCCATGCAGAAAGTCAGACGCCTCCACGACCGTACAAGCACCGCTGTTTAACAACGACAGTGCAGTGTACGGGCGTGAATGAACGAACGATTCGCGTGTTCCTGAAGAAAAAGGTGTGCGTTCGAGTTTAGATCCCGCGGCCGGCGGCACTGTCTGTCTGTCTGAAAGGTGGCGCCGATGCCAGACTTGCCCGCGTCCTCTGCCCCGTCCGGCCGTCCCACATGGTGATGGCGCTGCCGTGTTCGTTCCGGTTGACGCACGGATCCGAGGAAGGAGGTGGTGGACGCCATTAGCCGCCGCGGCCCGCCGGCCACCAACCACCCCGATCAAAACGCGTTTAGATCTTTGCCAGAGCCAGCCTAATACCGCCTAATTATTATCAGTACTCCCATCGGGGCGACCGGGTCCATGGTTTGTTGGATGCCTCTGACCCCATGACAGCTTCCATGTTGTTAGGCACGCACATCACTGACGATCTAAACTCATGTGGGGTGTTTTCTTTAACACAGATTCTATTCCATGCTTGTGCCTACTGTTATTTGTTTGTTGCTTGCAGATTAATTAGACTTGGCATCGATCTTACGAAGCTGTTTGCTGCATGCAGATCCTGTGCCGTGCGCTGGGCGGCCGCACGGGGCGCTCGACCAAGGGCTGGGACATTGGGGTGAGCTGCATCCACCCGACGGCGGCGGCGGCGCGGCTGTTCGCCCCGCTGAAGCTCCCCGTGCACATGCCGGTGATCGAGTTCCACCAGGACGAGGTGTGGGAGCTTCCCCCGACCGCCGAGGTGCTGGCGCGCTCCGACAAGACCCGCGTCGAGATGTTCCGCCTGGGCGACCGCGTCATGGGCATCCAGGGCCACCCGGAGTACAGCAAGGACATCCTCATGAGCATCGCCGACCGCCTCCTCCGCCATAACCACATCCTGGTAAGTGATCACTCATCAGATGGCTAGCATGCACTCATGCACCTCGATCTGCAGTGAACTGCATATGTATGTGTATTTGGTCTTAAACAAAATATATATCTTTGTTGGGTGTTGGCAGGACTGCCAGGTGGACGTGGCGAAGGCGAGCTTCGACGTGCGGCAGCCGGACAAGGAGCTGTGGAAGAAGGTGTGCAGGGGCTTCCTCAAGGGGAGGCTCCCGTCGCAGCAGCAGCAGCAGCAGCAAGCTGTGGCGCTATAGCATGCGTTCCACTAATTAACCCACTGCAGGCAGTCTAAAGCTGACGAGGGAGGAGCAAGTTATTTACAGGAGGAAATTGGTAGCAGCATTGGATGCCCTAGGTTAATTCATCCTTTGTTTTGTGCTAGAGAGCTCAAGAGTTGTACAGAAAACTACTATCGAACGAAGCATTAATAAAAAGGAGAAGGAAAAAAAATGGTTCGTTGGTTTTATCATTCCATGGCTCCCAGTTCGTTCTCGTAGTGCTATTGCTAGTGCTAGCGCTAGTGCTAGCTCTCGTGTGATGTAGCGGTGCCTGGTGTGTCTGTCTCTCTTTGCATCCACTTTTTTTAATCAATCACACGTTGCATAGGCTGCTTTTATCTTATTTGTGGACTCAAATTAAACGATTACGGCACTGGGCTCTTTTTTTTTTGGTTTAAAAAAAAAGGCCTTTATGCCCCATCGACAGCGCTGTCCGCTTGTCATTGGTGTATCTGAAGAACCGAAAACAGATGTCGTTGTCGTTGGAACTGATTTTCACCGAGGATAAAAGATAACAACACTCTAGGAGTACAACTAGTCTAGTACTACTACTTGCACTCCAACCAAGCAGTCCCGGACAGCGTGCACCAACCAAACAAGTGAAGTGAACATTAAATGACACTGTTTTTCTTTCGCAACATTTTAGTCGGAGTAAGTATTTTTCGGTCGATTTTAGCCGTTTCATCAAACCGAACGGCCAAGTCGGTGGGTTGGGGGGGTTGGTGAACCGTGAACGGGTGATTGAGACGAGTAAAGGTGACCTGACCGGACAGCGGACTCGCCGGACTGGATGTACCAACTGGCCGGTCGCCGGAAACCGATGTCGTCTTGGGATTTCGGGTGTCCGTCAAGATCTGATCTGATCTTTTCGTGAAAAAAAAAAGAGTGGCTCCAAGTTCCAGTTTACTAGTACTAGTACTAGGGCGATGTTTAGTTGGACAAAGTTTGCGTAGATAAACTTTACATAGTAAAGATTTTCTATTATAGCATTTTGTTTGTATTTGTGAATTATTGTCCAAATATTGACTAATTAGGCTTAAAAGATTTGTCTCACAAAGTTAAAGCAAACTGTATAATTAGTTTTTGATTTCGTCTACATTTATTACTCAAACATGTACCGCAAATTTGATATGACGGAAAATCTTCTTTTTACATAGTGCACTTTTTAGAAATTTAAAGGAACTAAACAATGCTAGGCCGGAACTACTTCCCAAAGGAGAGAAGAAAAAACTTCTATTGGGCCTCCAGCTGCTGAAGTGATTGTCACGACTCCTGCGGTACTGCCGCGACCAAGGATCGCCCACATTTTGTATGAGCGTACGAATGAATTATGAAAGCAGCTTTGGCTGCCAAACTGTTCTGCGCGACTGCGACGATCGCCAACCACGCACAGCAGGTCAGCAGCGATCCGAGATAAGGCGGGTGTCTAGGTGCATTGAACCTCGTCGAGACAGACTGCTCCGAACGTGGATAGATGAACTTATCCATCACTTCCATCCCAATGGCCGTGGAGCTGGTACTCACAGCGGCAATTCTTTTTTTAATTTCTAATTAAAATAACATACATGAGTGCATACAACTACAAACACATACGTATAGGATACAGAGACAACTATCCTAGCCAATCTTCACTAAGAACCCTGAACAAGAAAAAAAATTACATCGATGCCCCTGAATCCTTCACGAACCATCCGTGATCGACCACTGTCGGTGCGGGACCCACGGGATACCCTGCAAGGAAGAGAGAAGATATAGTCTAACTAGGATTCTTCTCATATAATCCTAGTAGTAGTATTATTCTATAATCCTACTAGGAACTCTCATTGTAAACCGACTAAAACTCTGGCCTCCTGACTATATAAAGGAGGGCAGGGTTCCTAGAAACAGGACGAGACGACTTTACGACACAACACTTTACAATCAATCCAACGCAAGGCTAACGCCGACTGGACGTAGAGCTATTACTCGATCAATGATCGAGGGTTCGAACCAGGATAAATCGACTGTCTCTTACATTCATCGTCGAGTTCCGCATACGCTGAAGCCCGAACATACTGCCCCGGGGACCCCCGTGGCAGGCTATCGGTGGTCAAACATCGATAGCTGCCGCGTCAGGTAGGGGCTTTCGGCGAATTTGCATCCGAGAGCTCGACGGACCTAGACAACATGATCTTCTTGACGGGATCAACCTTCATCTTCGGCTCATGGATCTGCGAGGCGGACGACAATGGCAAGCTCCAAAGCCGTCTCCTCGAAGATTCGGATCACCCTGAAGACCATTCTATTTCGGCGACTACGACAGATCAACTCACTAGAAGATTCGCGCAGCTCGCGATATCCGATTCAACTCAGATTTCGCGACTTTGCGCATCCGACTCGAACTTAGGTTCCGCATCCGAAATGGAGTCTTACCCGAGTTCTTCCGAGAAACCGAGTTCTTTTTCAATGGGGCTTAAGAACGCGGCCTTGGCCTATCAAGAATACAACTCAGAGTACAATCAGAGTCTTTTTAAGAAGTCGGGACTTTTTCCGTTTGGACTCCACAACACGATAACATCTTATCAGGCATGGCCTGAAGGATCCTCTGATCCGGTGCTTAGAATGCCACTGAAAAGAGCTCAGGAAGGTCTGGTACTGACTATAACATCTCAAGACTGCATCGTCCACTGGCCAGGTTCTGTTCCTGAGGATAGCGGAACCCGACTAGTCGACACGGTGACAACAATAATTCTACCCTACCAAGAAGGAGACTCGATCTGTGACCTCGAAGCCTCTACTAAAGTTATCAGCAACTTCGACAGTGTGGAAACCGACGCTGACAATAGAACAATTCATGCACGAGAAGTATTCATGGTTCGCCGTCCTCGATCACCATTGATACCCCTAGAAGTACCCGACGTCAGGTCATCAAACGAATCTGTGTCCAATATATCACCCTTTACCCAGGGGCACGATGGTGAGACCGAGAATCAGAAGCAAGCCAGAGAACGAAAAAACAAGTTGAAACAAGGAAGCCAAAACCGTGCTTAGCAGCCCAAGAAAGCTTGGATCAGATATGAGTCAGAACTGGCCGGGTACAATAGAAGAAAATTAGAACGAGAAGTCGAAGAAAGACGCACGGCAAATACACCCTATGATAAGATCCGAGAAGCACTAGAAGAATTCAGAGCGACCTCACATCCTAGTGAAAAACAAGAACAGCTCCGGGATTTTCTCTGGTCAACAGCCCTGAGGACGCACGAAGGAAGGACCCGCTCAAGACTACCCACCAGGTCAACGTCTCATAGGCAAGAAAATCAAAATCAAAGGAAGTCCGCTTTCGAGAGACTTGGACCAAGCGGAAGTCACAATAGAGAAAGTAAAAGGGATCATAGTCAAAGCTACCGAGTCGAACAACCAAGAAAGACCAGAAGTAAAGCACCTGCTCAGACAGCCTCGCAGAACTACTCTCACCAAAACAATAGTTGGCCAGAGGGAGGTGCCGAATCAGAATACAAAGAAGCCGGAACGCACGATAGATTCCCCTATTTTGCAAACAGACTTGCTTCAATACGACTACCTCACAAGTTCAAGCCGTCCAACCACTCTAAGTATGATGGCAAAACTGAACCAAGACAGTGGCTCAGAATATACTCGCAATCGATTGAACTAGCCGGAGGAGACGACGATATCAAGACCCTATTCTTTCCCATGGCCCTAGAAACCATGCCCCTCCAATGGTTCAACAAATTGAATCCAGGGTCAATCAGAAATTGGGAGGACTTACAAAGAGCTTTCTGTGAAAATTTCGCGGGTATCATTACGCATCCCATTACCCATGCAGAATTAAAAGGACTCAAGCAGAAAGGGGGCGAAAGTCTCAGAAATTACTATCGATGATTTGGCGAACTACGAGCTCAACTACATGACATCACCGAACGAGAAGTAATTGAAGCTTTCTCTCACGGAATCATGGCTAGGTGGTAATTTCAAGACTTCTGCAAAGAAAACCCGAGAAACAATGAAGAATTCAGACGAGCAGTAGAAAAGATGATTACTGCGGAGGAGAATACACGAGAAAGGTTCTCGGATAGAAACAACCAAGACAACTCGGACAAGCAAAATCATCGAAACAACAGACATCAGGAAAGAAAACGTGGACCAGACAACACCGTAGCGATGACTGACAAATCAAGGATGTTTTCCAAACCCAGAAGGTATGACGACATTGAAAACATGCGTTGCATCTTGCACCCTAAAGAAATTCACACCATCTGAGATTGCTACACCTTCAAAGATCGATACACAAGAAAAGATAGTAAGGAGAATACCAAAGAAGACAATCTGAAAAAAGATGAGGACAACCACGAAGACAAGGGATTCCAAAAATCCAGGGGGACGGTAGCAGTGATCTTCGCTGGAGCCCCAGACTCCAGAAGCAAACATCAAGAAAAGTTAGCTCTACGAACCATCATGGCAGCAGAACCGGCTACTCCAAGATATCTCAATTGGTCATAGTATCCAATCCAATTTTCAAGAGAAGACTAATGGACTAGCGTAGAAAACGCAGGCAATTACCCACTAGTTCTAGATCCAACTATTGCCGGTATGACTGTCACAAAAGTATTAATCGACGGGGGAGCCGGACTCAACATCATTTTTTAGAAACTCTAAGGAAGATGGGACTACAACTCGCCGGGATGATTACACCAACGAGCACACCTTTTTATGGCATCAAGGCAGCAATGCCACTTGGACAAATCACTCTACCTGTTACTTTTGGAACTCCCTCGAACTACCGTACAGAGTTCATCAAGTTTGAAGTTATAGACTTCGATTCATCATATCACGCAATCCTCGGGCGCCCAGCACTAGCAAAATTCATGGCGATGCCACATTATCCGTACCTGTTGCTTAAGATGCCAGGGCCTAACGGTGTCCTTTCTCTTCGGAGTGATTTGAAGCGCGCTTTTGACTGCGACGTTCAGGCAATCCAA